TCTTTTCACTTAACTTTATTGCTATCACAGAGTGGGCTGAAAAACCCCCTTATGTGATAGCATAAGAGGTGACAGGTCCTCATTATGGAGACATCAGGGGTCTCCAAGACCCCTAATGTCACCTAGGACCCCCCTGAAGAAGCTGATGAAGCAGAGATCTGCTTCATCAGCTTCTCTCCAGCATCTGAAGCTGGAGAGTGACACGAGAATGCGGAAGTGATGTCATATACACCACTTGCGCATTCTGACAGCGGAGAGCGGTCCCGAGGGAGCTCGTGTACCGAGCTCCCTCTGATCCCCTGTGACAGGGCATCGCTGCCTTTTTTCAAATAGCGGGGATTTACACGCCCAGTTACATCCAAAAAGCTCCCGGCCGGCCGTGTATACACAGCGGCTGGCCGAGAGGTAGTTAAAATACAGATCTCCTTCTTTTGATATTTTTCAACAGCTGCTAACCCTAAAGTTCTCTCCCATTCTGACATAGATCAGATTTCATGGGGAAAGCAAAAGGATGTCTATTTCAATGCCATGCATTCAAAAGCACGAGGTCTCAGTTAAATATATGGGCCCATTCTTTTATTCTCATAAGCCAAATCAAATTTGAATATAAGTATTTTTCACAGGCATTTGAAAAAAGCGGCATAATAATCTAAAAGAGAATACTTAACAGTCCTGAGTTTGAGTTTCTGACAGAGTTCAATTGACTAAAAAAATAAAAAATAAATCTGAGTCTTTTCTCCAAGCAAGGCTTTGGACAGATGTCAGAATGCTAAGGAGGTGATCTTCCTGGAACTTTGGTGTTAGGAGCTTCTTGATGTTGCGAGGGCTCCATTTTCTTGATGATAAATGAAGAGCCTGCTCAGCTGTCTCTGCGGCCTCTTTTTTTGTCAGCCCTTTAGGGGGTGTCACAGAGGCGGCCCATAAAGGCACAGCTGGGGAGGAGGAGCAGGAGGGTTGAGCCTTAACAATATCCTTCTCTGCTCCTCCCATATTGTCAACTTTCATATCTAAGATGATAGTGGAATATTGATACACAATACAGTCTGACAAACTTGCCATAAATATGAAGTATGATTGGCCCCTTTGATATTGTCAAATTGATAGCACAAAAAGCTGTGTCTCGTCAAGACATTCTCCAATTCCTAGCTATTAATTTGGGGTGGTATTGTAACGTTCAGTTAATGGCCTAGGGCAGGGGTCAGCAACCTGCGGCTCTAGAGCCGCATGTGGCTCTTTGATCCCTCTGCTGCGGCTCCCTGTCCAAGGGCGGAACTACCGTCGGGGCCTGAGGCTGTGTGGTGGACCCAGTGAGGTCCGGTCCTGGGCACCTCCCCTGGTGGAGTATGGGGCAATGCAGGGTCCCGGGGCCCCACACTGCTGACGGGCTTCTCAGCAAGGGGGCGGGTCCTGTTACTCACCACCTCTCTTGGCTTCATCCCTAGTAACAGGCGGCGGCAGAGAAGTGAGTGTCACGTGCCCTGCCCCCTGCAGTGCACACTTCCTGGCTGGAATGCTGGCTTTGAGGCTTGGCAGGTGAGTCCGAATGAGGAGCAGGGGGAGGGGGAGTGTAATGGTTCCCCTCCATCTGCGCATGTGCAACCTGCACGTTCCCGTACTGCTCGGGAACGCGCCATCCCGCGCAGAAGCACTAACCTACGAGCACGAAAATCCGCCATAGCGGCGCACAGGAAATTACATCACTGGCCCTATATAAACCCAGCAGCAGTACTGCTGGTTTATCGTTGGCTAATCCTTGTTCCAGTTTTTGTGATATCTTGCTTGATCCTTGTGATCCGGACTTCCTCGACAAACCTTGAATTCTGCCTGCCTTGACCACGGAACTGTTAGTTGACCATTCTTCTGCCTGACCCCTTTTGTACTGGAATTGCCTGCTTGGAACCTGACCTCGGCTCGTCTCATTGGATTACGGCTTGCACGGTGCTCAACACCACTGGCACTCCTGCCACTTGTTGTCCCGCTGGGCTCTGTTCCCATCCTCAGTCTCCCAGGACACAAGGTGCAAGGGAAGCCTCCTCTCACATCCGGTCTCCCAGAAGGTACGTAACAGGGAGGGAGTGGTATGGGTGTAACGGCATACTGTGTGCTGTTATTTCATTAGAAAAGTGGATAATAATTGGGAACATTACACTGTATTGTTACATATTATCTATTTCTCTGATTAACCCCTTCATGACTGAGCTAGTTTTCAGTTTCTGTTCATAAATGACACACTTTTTACATTTTTGCTGATAAAACTTTTTTTTTTCTTGTCAGTCACTATGACTGCTTGATAAATTAACTTTTTTTTTACATTTTTGGGTATTGGGCTGCTCCAAACTTAGGAACAGCTAATAATAACCTTAGAGACTGATCCTGACTTTAGTCGGATTCAGATCTCCCTAAAAGGTCTTTGATCGTGCCTAGATGATCAGAACTTATACACTTCACTCAAAAGATATACATTGTATCTTTTTAGTGAAATGTATCTAAACATCGGGCTCTCGAGCTGTCAAAACAAATAGCAGAGAGGTGAGTCACTGCTACCTCTCTGCTATTTTCAGCTGTCAAATTCAGGATCTCAAATTGCGGTCCTGTATTTGCATGTAACGGCTTCATTCTTTCATTAATAAAGGAAGAAGCTTTTACAAAAAGCTTAATTATTTCATAAAAGAATGCCTCAATACTGAGGCATTCATTAATGACTGGTAACTGCTGAGAATCAGCCTGAAAAAAAAGCCTGATATAACTCCTCATGTACAGTGTACGTGGCCAGTCATATAGGCACAAAGTGACGGGACGTACACTGTACGTCTCCCGTCACGAAGGGGTTAAATGATTTAGACAGGGCATTTGTTCTATCAAAGTTTGTGACTAGCATGGAATGTGTGACCGGTGACGTGGTCACACATTTCAATGTAATCCCGCCCAGGGCAGTTCTCCTGCACATAGGATTTGCGATGCTGATCTGCCCTGGAACAGCTGAGAAAGCATTGGAATGCTTGACCTATTGGCGGTCACACATTCCACCACCAAAAAACTTGGCGGTATTACATTGAAATGTGTGACCATGTCACCGGTCACACATTGTAACAGTCACAAACTTTGATAGCACACCGCCATCAGGGGGGTACGGCCGGTACCCATTTGAGGGGTCTGGGGGGCCTCCTACATGAGTATCAGCTGTACCAGGGACGGCATGGCAGAGGTTACAGGGGAGGGGGTGGAGGAGCTCAGGCCCCAGCAGCAGCAGCAGGTAAGAGTAGTTTTGGATTAGGTACAGGGAAAGGGACCCCGGTGACCAGCCCACCCGAGGCCCTGCAGAGCCCACCATAGAGCGTCTCAGATGGGCTGTGCAGGATCTATGGTGTGTTCTGCAGGGTCACTCTCAGGTGGGCTCTGCGGGGTCTCAGGTAAGCCCTGAGTCCAGTGCGTTACTAAGCCCGCATATACCTATATACATGCTATACATAGCATAAAGTTAAAAAACAATATATGCAGTGTTATCTTCATTTTAGATGTCAAAAGGGTTTTGTGGCTCCCGGTGTTTTCTTTTCTGTGGGAAACGGGTCCAAATGGCTCTTTGAGTGTTTAAGGTTGCTGACCCTTGGCCTAGGGGGAATAAAAGGACACCTGGGTCATTATCCTTACCAACTCTTGTGTTTACCTCCACCTGTCAAGTGCTAATTTAGTATGTGATTTTGCTGAGCTGGGCAAAACCATTACCATGTGGGCAGCACTGGGGATCACTGATTCAAGTCCCAGCAAGGTCACTATCTGCAAGGAATTTGCATGTTCTCCCTGTGCTTGTGTGGGTTTCCTCTGGGTACTCTGGTTTCCTCCCACTCTCCAAAGATATGCTGGAAGTTAAATTGGCTCCTGTCTAAAATTGTCCCTCATACAAATGTATGTGAGATAGGAACCTTGGATTGTAAACTCCTTAAAGGGAGGGACTTTAGTGAATGTACACTATATAAAGTGCTGCGTAAATTGTCGGCACTGTTACGACCCTGATCATAAAGGAGTCATTTAAGCTGATCCACACCAGATCTATGGGGAAACTCTGGATAAACAATTAGGTTTTAGTGCTTCACTAAGAACCATTAAGATTACAGTCCCAGATTAGCAGATATTGTTACTGGAATTTGAAGATGCTTGGCAAACTGAGGGCAGCCTAAGGTCACTAAAACTGGATGGAAGGCTGCATTTGTTCTACGATGAGGGAAAAGAGAATTTCATAGTTAAAGATTAATAGGCCCAAACCTAATTATTGTCCCAGGGTTATCCTGGACTAGCTTAGATTTTTCTTATTTTTTTTTTTTTTTTTTACCAGTGTCTAATTAGTCTGTAAGTGGCAGTGTAACCTGATGGTAAAAGCTCCCTTGTCACTCAGTGGTGTCCGAGAAAAGGATTTTACCCTCCTCATGTATCACTTCCCCCTCCCTTTTAGATTGTAAGCCCTCAGGGGCTGGGCCCTCCTTACCATCTTGTCTTGATTTGTATTGTGATTGTAATGTCTTCCTTAAGCTGGCCATACACCTTACAATTATCTGCAGATTTTCTGTGGTCAGATGGAAAAGGTGCAACAGATTCCTCCATCTACACCTAATTGTGTGGATGGAGTAATCTCCACCTGGGCCAATCTGTTGCACTTTTTCCATCAGACCACGGACAATCTGCAGATAATTGTAAGGTGTATGGGCACCTTTATATTGTAAAGCGCTGTGCAAACTGTTGGCACTATATAAATCCTGTATAATAATAATACAGTGAATGCAAAGATCCTCTTTTCTTGGACATTATGCATGTTGTGGTAAATAGGTGCATGTTGTGGTAAATAGGTACTTAAACTGATTACACCCTTCCTTGGGGCTGTTATGTGCAGAAGTCATCAGTTTGCATAAATGTAATCGGAGATTTTTTGGAGGGACATCCCCTGTATCATTTTTTTACACTCCGCATATAATCCTCTGAGCTAATTTGGCTTTTCTTTCTCCCTGCAGTTGCGGTACTATTCATCTCGCAGTAGACGAGGATTTCTAGCTGGGCTTCTTGATAATATCAAACAAGAACTGTCAAAAAACAAAGAAATGGAAGAAAACATTAAAAAATTTCGAGAGGAAGCAAAGAAATTAGAAGAATCTGAAGCTCTGCAACATGCTCGCAAGAAATTTGTATGTTGATATGTCTGTTTTACAAAATGCTTCTATTTAAAGTGAGCGTCACCTGGGCTAAAATATTTTAGTTTATTTACACTTTTGCATCCATATTGGGATAACCCTTACTTTAGACTTGTTTCATGTTTTTGTTAACATAACCTAGCTTAAAAACATATTTAAAAATTACTGCTTAACTTTTTACATGCTCTTTTCTGAAAGCCAAAAAAAATGAAATTTCTCTTCTATTCATTGAAGGACTCCGTGGATATCTTTATCTTTCACCAATGGGGTTATACTGCCACCTGCAGGAGTAGGGAACTAAACACAAAAAACAAAGCACAGCCCGGGGTGGCCCCTGCTGGTGGCCAAACGTTTATCTGCTAGAGGCAGCTCAGTTCTTTGGCCAGTGTCGTCAAGGCATGTGGACCTTGTTCCCTATGGAGACTTTAGTTCTGTCTTTTTTTTTTCTTCCACATATGAAGTTTTTTTTAACATATGGTGACAATAACAGAACAAATGTAAGAACATCTGTATAACAAATATATGGGGCAGAGGAATAACAGAGAATGAAACAATAAGTTTGTAAAGTGCAATCACAATCGAATGAACAAGGGAGCAAAGTGTTTCTGCATAGCGATATTAATCTCAGGTGAAAAAAGGAAGAAAGACGGACGAAACGAGGTGGTGTACAGCAATTCAGGGGAATTGGCTACAAGCTCCCACGAATAAAATAGATGGGGGGGGGGTGTAGAGGGGAAGGAGGGTGACTGCAATAGGAATGTGAGTATGAAGAAAAGGAGCTTGGGGGAGGGGGTTTAATAGAGGGGAATAAAAAAAAAAAAGAGTAGCGCAAGTCAGTGGTGTTAATGTTAATGAAGACGGGAACTAAATGTGTTCGGCAAAGTATGGTGACGGAAAAGTAGCGTTATAAGTATATAAGGCAGCTTTACTTATGGTGGCCGGATTCTAGGATGGGCTCTTGAAGTATTCAGGTGTAAGCAGGGGTGACTGGGGTGTAGTGTGGGTGTTTTCTCCCAAATCCCCCCCATATGTGCTCCTGTATTGCTGGAATGGCTCCCTTTCTACAGCATGGCTGCAGAAGACATTGGCTGCAAATTGATATGGCTCCTCGTCCCCTATTTCCCACAGTCACAGCCAACTCTGAATGTAGCCTGCGGGGCTGGCTGTTGTAGACATCGATGGCTGCTTTTACTCTGCAGTCGCTCTACTGTTATGAGGCCATGCTTCGGGCTTACGGCAGTGTTTGTGTAGGGGTACACAACGTCCTTGCAGGTCACTCTGCTCCCACAAAATTGGGCGCTTATGGTTTTCGGCTGGCTCTGGCAGCAAAGTTTTGCACAAGAAACAATGGTTTCTGCGCTTCTTAGGTCAGTGCGGCAAACTGGACCTGCCCTTGTCATGCCTGGTTGAGGCAACAGTGCTTCTGGTTTAGAAGTATCTCTCCTTTATGACCCTACAAAATCTGTAGTTTATTAATATATTTGAATATTTTTTTGCGATCTATCTTGCACTCTTTTGCAGCCTGTTTGTTTTGAATCTTTGCCATCTTTATTTCCTTTTTTTTTTTTTACATATTTTATTATATTCTTTGTAACTTTAAAATTACAACAGTGTTCCTTTTTTATATTTTTTTTAATGGCCTTTTTTAAAAAAATTCTTTGTTCTTTTTTTAACATTGGATGTGAGCCACATGGGTTTTACTTGTAGCCTTTTAAACTTATTGCTTAAAAGAGAACTATGGGGCAACCTTTTTATCCCATAGTTTTTTTTAGGTTCACGGGGGGACATATACTAACATCCTCCTGTGACCCAAAGCTCAGTATATATGCATTTGCCCGCTATATATTGAGAGCGCCACAGTCGAGTGGATCCCGACAATACTGTCGATCTACCCAGCTGGCTGATTGATAGCGGGCTGTGCCTGCCCACTCCGTTGCTCCAGTCACAGCTGGAGGATCAGAGAGGGGAGGGGGGTAATCCCTGCTGGGAGTAGTGACTGACAGTCACTGGTCTCTGTAGGGAGATGATCGTGAAGTGAGCGACGATACTGTATGTGTTCACTCCCCAATCTATAGAGTTGATGTGCGACAGTCTCAATGTCACACGTCGGCTCTAACTATGGGGATGGGTGTAAATCACCCTTTTTTAACGGAGTATATTTTGCAGTATGTTTTTTTAAACAACTGATTTGAAACATTCATATTTTTGTTCTGTGTCTTTTTTAATTAAAATATTTCCTACCAGTCCAAGTCTTGAAAAGCAGCCCTCAGCATGGGAAAATTTGCTCTCCTAAAGTTAAATGTTTTTATTTTTCTAGTATGTGGGTGTGTGCAACTCTAGTTAAATCAAATCATATTATGGTCACTACTACCGAGATGTTTTTTTATATGAACATTTGTAATAAGCTCTGCGTTGTTTGAGATTACCAGATCCAGCAGTTCTACAAACTGTACCATAAAATTGTCTTGCAATACCTTTTATAAATATCTGCCCTTTTTACTGTGCCAGTAGTGCCATTTTACCAGTCAATTTTAGTATTGTTAATATTTCCCATTAATACAACTGTCCCTGCCCTTGCAGCTTTTTCTATCTTTTGGAGTTTGTTACAGACCACCAGCGTTAATGAGATAAAAGATATAGACTCTGCTCCTTTTTTAAACAGTTACCTTTGCATTACACATACTAGTATACATCTCCACCCATAACTCCTCACACTCGACCATCAACAAAGTATTTTTTCAAACTTACTTTAAGATCACCCCTCACATAGAGACAAACACTGCCACCTTTTTGTTTTACCCGGTCTCTCTGAAAGAGAGCATAGCCTGGAATATTAACAGCCCAATCGTGAAGAACAAAGCCAAGATTCAGATCATAGTTCTCCACATGCGCCAAAGCTTCCAATTCTCCCATTTTGCTATGCAGACTTCTGGCATTGGCGAACAAACAAATCAAGTAATTTTTACATTTTTCGAATTGTAATAACTATCTTTTTTTTGTAGTACACATAGTACTTTAATCCCCAATGTTTTTTTGCCAACATGGGAGTCTCCTTATCCACTCCCCCTTTTCTTCTCCTCTTCCACCCACCATATAGTCTGACCCCTGTCTGTCTTATCTGGCCCATTATGTTCTAACTCTTCCTCCCCCCTTTCCCCCTAGCACAGCAGACCCCTTCCATTTGGGTGCTGACCATCTTTAGCGTATAGGTTGTACACCAATGAAAGGTCATACCCTGGCTCTAGAAACCCAAACCCTTCCTTCTTAAACCAGTTCTTCAGCCATACATTTAGCTCTCCCGCTGTCTTTCCTGTGTTGCGCACGGCACAGGCAATATTCCAGAAAATATTACCTTGGAGGTCCTTCCCTTCAGCTTGCAACCTAGGTATTGAAATTGATTTTTAAGCATCCTCCATCTTCCATGTATTCTGTCATTGGTCCCAACATGGACCAAGACAGCCGGGTTACACCCAACCCCTCCCAGTCATTTGTCCACCACATGCTGACCCGGGTTTAAGGGATACAGCAAACCATTCGGTTGAGGCGATCTGGGAGACAAACTATTATATCATTCCTCCGAAATATAGAATGCAATATATAGAATTTGGGGGTGAATATGGAGCAAAGGTGATACCGCACCCAGGGGGGAAATGTATAATAATGTGGCAAAGATAAGGGCTTTTAAGGTATCAAAAACACCAATGGTATAGCACAAGAGTAGATTAAGATTACATTTTTATACAAAAATATGAGAAAATGTGATTGTACATAATAAAACACTTAAAACAGTGATCCTTCCTTCATAATATGGCATATAATCAAGATCTCCCTTTATAAAGATACCAACAATATTGATAACTTAACCAAAGACCAGAAAAAGTCACTGTTTGACAGCTAATACAGATCGGCATTAGGAGATTCCCCTGTGTACCAGCTTTGTTTCTAAATGTTTTAGAATCCTTATTGCTACATGTTTCTATTCTGAATCAGTGTTGCAGGCTTCTGATCATTCTGGGAACGATCAGAAGCCTTTAGTAACACTAATCCTGACATGCTGTCGGCAATCAGTGTCACTAAGGTTATTAGCTGTTCCTAAGTTTGGAGGAGCATAATAATAAAATTAATTATTAAGCAGTCATAGTGGGATTTATTCTCAATATATGAGATATATATGATTCAGGGGTGTGGACATTTAAAAAAAACAACTACTTGTCCAAGGGTTAAAGCGGGGGCCAAATCTACTTGTCCTTCATGACAATCTACTTGTCCCAATACAAAAAATAGTTTTAATCAAAACTAAGGATGTACCAATACCGGTTTTTCGGTATCGAGTACTGATTTTTTGCTTTCGGACCTCGCCGACACTGAATACTAATACCGGTGCTTCCGCTGGCATGGAGCAGGCTTCCCTGGTAATCAGGAAACCGGGCAGCGGGTAATGACATCCCGCCCAGGTTCCTGATTGCCACGGAAGCCGGCTCCATGTTGTTTGGCCTGCTTGATCGTGATTGGCCAGGAAACCTGCTTCCCGGTCAATCGGGAAGCCGGGTGGCGAGTAATGACCTGATTGACCGGGAAACTGGCTCGATGCTGATTGGCCAGGAAGCCAGCTTTCCAGGCAATCAGCCAGGAGCCGGCTTCCCGGGCCAATCAGAAAACTAGGAGGCGGGTCAATACTTGCCGCACTGCTTCCTGATTGCACAGGAAGCTCGCTCCATGTTCCCCTACAGAACTGCCAGTCAGAGGAAATTATTTTCATCTGGCCGTAAGTTCCAATATCGGGGAAGGTATTAGATAGTACACCCATACTGGCGGAGGGGAGGGATTGTTCGCCGAAAGGTAAGTATAGCCAGAGTGGTGGCGGTTTGGGAGAAACGGGGCCAGATTTCATCGGGTAATTTTTATTTTTCCATATTACCTGGGAAAATGAACTTACACACGCACACAATGTGCATTAAAGGGTAAGAGAATTCTGGCTACCCCCATGGAATGGC